ATGTATATGTATGTATGTACACATATACATATATATATATGTGCGTGTGTGTGTATGCGTGTGTGTGTGTGTATGCGTGTGTATGTGTGTATGTGTGGGGGGGGGTGGTGGGTGTGTGTGGGGGTGTGTGTGGGTGTGGTGGTGTGTGGTGGTGTGTGGTGGCTTGTGGGGGGTGGTGGTGGTGTGTGGTGGCGTGTGAAGGTGTGTGGGGATGTGGGTGTGAGTGGGTGTGGGTGTTTATGTGTGTGTGTGTGTGTTTGTTTGTATCTGTGTTTGTGTTTGTGTTTGTGTTTGTGTTTGTGTTTGTGTCTGTGTTTGCGTTTGTGTTTGTTGTGTGTTGTGTGGTGTTTATATGTATGTCTGTATACGTATGTTTGCATGTTATATGCATTGGCGCGTATTTCTAGAACAATTTGTCGACTTGCGCATATATATTCGTGAATGTATTTGAGTTCATGGATTGACTGTTTTCCCTCAGATGTATAACAAAGTACCTTATATTTACGTGTTACATATGAAAATATTACAAGTTGGTTCTATTCGTATTGTACATGTAATGATGTATTCTTTTACCTCCGCCGGCATGTTTTAGCTGTCGAATACCTGTTTATACTTTTGGTTTTGTTCAGAGATTCTAAAGAGAGCATAACTCCCAGTGGCTGAGGTTTCGTACGTAATGCGCTGAGTACGATTTATATAATGTTTTCACACTTGATATATATTTCTAAGATCAATAGCCAGAACCCGGGATGTTCGTCATGTCAATTTATTCGCAAATAGTAAATCAGATTTCAATGTTAATCAATTTTTATTTTAGAGCTATACTTTATCAATACCCGTGCTTGGTTTATGGTTCAGTCCCCCGAAATATACACATCTCCATGTATATTATATGCCATACACCCACACTATTTTCGAATATTTGATGACGGAACTCGTTTCTGATCGATGTCTGGCTTACAGTGCCGTCCCGCAGGGCCGTTTTGAAATGAAGGAATTCGATATGCCTGGTAAGATCTCGGGAATTTTTATCGGCAGTTGGAATAACAAGTGTTCGAACGTATTTCGAATTATATGCGAGCGCATGTGCTTTTAGGGCTACTTAGAATTTACAGGTATCGGGTAGTTTGTATCGTACAGATTACGCCGGTATATGTAGTCTGGCAAGTGCCTGTGTGCGTGAATTGGGTTGAAATACTTCGCTCGCACTTGCGCTTGAATACTGCTGACCACAATCAATATATTTCGAGTTTCAGCTACACGCAAAAACTTCAAAATTATATTTCGTTACGAACTTCTCATAACTGAGGCACGATATTCTGGTATGCACTTGCCTGTGCGAGACGTAGAGAATTCTCATATGTTGATTAAGATATCATCGGCGGCGGTTTTCTCGAAGAATTCAATTCAGGACTTTCATTTTCTGCTATTAATTGCAACAGAGAACATACTGCTGCTTCGATACGAAGGCAAACAGCATCTCCCGTACATATCAAATCTGATAACGAAAGATCTCTCGGAGCCATACTCCGTCTATACTTATAGATATTTCGTTGCCACCTGGCCCCAATATTCTTTGCGGGTATGGTCGTTTCTCTTATCTAGCTAACTGTCAAGTTTGTATCAGTATGCTTAATTATAAGATGGCGTTGATCTTGTACCTCAATTATATACTCATATACAGCTTAATACGTACACTCCTCGCTGTGCCTCATACTTGCGGTACAAATGCACGTACAATATACTCAGGGCACACAGGGTTTCTCGAATTTGGACAACATACGACCCGCGATAGTGTCATCTGCTAATTCTTATTACATGCCGTTGCTCTAGTATTATCTAAAAGTTGATGGATAAGGATGAATGCATTGGCTGCATCGTTGCTAAATTAGAGTATCATAAAAGTGCATATAGAGGATACATCGCCATGTTGGCTGGGGATAAAAAGTTTCGCGGCCGGAAATATGAAACCGCGCTGGTTGTGGCAATTATCCGTCTGATGCAGTTGAGCATGTGCGATGAGGTATGTTGTGATCAGCGTGTAAATTGGTATGAAGTATGTGAGGAGTTATTACTTATGATTTAAAGCGGCAAGAATTTTCATCAAAGTTGGTAACTTCAGACCATCGTTAGATGTGTGCATACCACAGCGAAAAAAATTGTGTGGTTTCCGCGTGTCATGAATTTTATTAGAACTTCTCCATGACAGTCTATTCTGATGAATTTCGCACGTAAGATGAGAAGCTAGCGGGCCGGGTGATATACTGACGCCGTGCTCTACATGGTGGCGTATTTTTCGAAATCATTTCTTGCGTAATCGCACTACCCAGAGAAACTTCTGTTCGGTGAATACATTAATGTATTGGAAAGGTTCATGGATCAAGTTCTGTAAATTCCTGAAACGGTCTTCCCTCGCCGAATATCATATGCACAGCGAATCAATAAGGTCATTTTATTATGTAAAAATAAAATCGGGTCCCTGTGGGGATTACGAGGAATCTTGCGTATGTGATTGACGAGCCTGTTTGGCTTCATGACATTGAATTCGATTTGTCCGCTGAGACTATACCATGGCTCATCGATTTATATCTTGTAGGTTATATAATCATCAATGTGCAAATCCTCGAATATTGTCACTTGTTGTCATACTATATATACTAGAGATAGTATGTATAATGAAAGTATTTTGTTGTTCCAATTCCCAATCTCAATATGTGGTGCTTGAAACAGAAGCCAGCAATAGTGGTGCGCTCCGACTATACTCCCAATTAGGCTTTGTCAAGCACAAACGGCTCAATGGGTACTACTTGAATGGTGTAGATGCCTTCCGATTAAAATTATAGTTGAGGTAGCTGAGTGCATTGGTCAATAGTGAAAGTGGGAGCAACACCGGGCTTTTGCGTCGCCAATGTGTCGAATTTGCATTCCATATGCCGCAAGACTTCAAAAGAATGTCAGTCCAGCTTATCTGTTTGTACCAAAACAGAGGTCCCATGATATTTACAGCGATCAAACATACCCATCAAATTCTATCAATCCTGATCGGTCAACCTCAAGTCTTCTGATAACGAAGGAACAGAGGTCCAAACAATATACTATGCGTCTTTATTTGTACTATAATACTACAAATGATTACTGATGCCAACGTCTCCCGAGGTTTTTCATTTCAGTACTAATTTATAGTTGTCGACAGCGTGCTTGTTTAGAAGCTATACGGATGTGCATAGCAAGATAGCATATATATTGGATCCGCTCTCCTTTACATTGTAACAATGTTCTCAGTAACGTTGCAATCAACTGAACATAAGATCCATACATCAAATCAGCAGTCCGACTCTATGGCGAGAAGTCTGTTCGCCGTTGTCACTCTCCTGGACCCCCGAGCAATTTAGATGTCACATGCCTGTGAAAGCCTGAGTGAAGTATCGTGTTGGGGAAGTTACCACGTCTGTCAATACAACCACGGATGCTCATCCAAACACGATCTAGAAGTGTATCACAAACTGTATTCGTATATGTAGACATGTTACACATATAGCTTTGCAACTATCACAGAAACCCTCAATACAAGACAAGGCTCGAGTGCATTCTAAGACCAGTCGTTTCCATAGTACTCACGGGTATTCTGCTAGCAATCCATATATTCCAAAGTAGAATGTTACCTGTGAAAGGCTTATTATTGTCGTGCTGTGCCGGGGGTGCCATAATAGGGTGATTGTTCAACGGCCGACCACCATCTACTTGCAAGGTTGTACCAGTAATGAAAGCAGACCCTTCACCGAGCAAAAAGCAAACTGCGGCACTGACCTGATAAATTTTAGTGATTGAGAATACCAAATGAGATCATCGCCCTAGTGCTATATGGTGTTTCAGTAAGCGGATGCTTACCTCACCTTCTTGCTTACGAGGAATACACGAGTAGCGCAGAATGCTCGTTTTGGACAAGGAGGAGAGGTTTTAAGTACGCACGGGAACCAATATGTCGGCATCTCGGCATCTCAGCATCTCGACAATTGCACAATATATGTGTACAATATCAGTGAACGCATGACTACGTTGCACACCATGTGTCAGATACGAGACAGATATAGTTTATGTACGCATTCAAACGGAAGACGCTTAATATTACAGCAAAGCTCGTAATTGTGCAGAGTTCGGTTGCCGAAATCGTAGTAACAGTCGAGCAAAAGATTTCCATGGACGAAACAAACCAAGTGCACTTAGATAGAGTAATCGTATCGTAGAAGCATACGGTAAAGTTAAAACTCACTTGGTAGCGTTAGTTGGAAAAGTGACAATACAATTGATATGTAAATTGACCATTCGGATGCTACTTAATAATTTAAAAAACATCTCGCACGCGCTCCACAAAATATCGCTCACAATACAAAAGTTTCAGATTTTCGCAAGATAACAAGGCAGAAAGCATAACAAAATATACATAACTAATGCAGTACACATTGATGCATATATTCTGTATGAAATCACTTCAGTTGAAATATATGCACATCAACATCATTTCCTACCTCGGATTCAGTTCCCAAGCGATTAACAGGCAAAGTGCCTCCAAGTTTTGGTAAAACCTTTTTGATGTGAGGATCTGAGTACGCGTCAAACCCACTCGAGGCAATCCATCCTGGAGCGACAGCGTTCACACGATACCCATATTTGGCCCATTCTACAGCAGCAGTTTGGGTTAGATTCACCATGCCCATTCTAGCGGCCCCACTGTGACCCATACCTGAAAGTAACGGCAGATACAGTTCGACAAGGCGAAATGCGTACTTATATCAATCGACGTCGGACAAAGATATCGTACACGAATTTCCTTGTGGATATCGTATGAAAGGCTAACGAGGAAACAAGGTGGAAAATGAATGCTCACAGACACCAGGAAAAAAATATTATTACCTGGCATGCCACCCCACATGTCGGCAACAATATTCACAATGGAGCATCCTTCGTTCGATATGAGGTCCCGATCAATACTCTGATTCAGCAGCTCTCTATCTACCGTCAATTTACAATAACATGATCAAACAGGTATGTCTATGTTCGCTATACCGCATAGATGTGTAATAATATCGCTACGCACCAGCAGAGCGTCGGACGAGACATTTTGTTGAATTAACGCCATTCGATTGTAGTCTCGAGCAGAGACTGACTTCACACGAAAGCACTAAGTATAAAATTTGAGTGAACAAACCAGACGGAAAGGATTGACTTCAAAAAGAAAATACCTGGAGAAAAGAAAGCCACCTGTGAGATTGCTGCTAACCACCGATTCGAAACCCTGTCATGTGTGATGATATGAAGAAGTTCATCAACGGTATAGAAAGGAGAAATTTTTGGGTATCGAGTACTCTTACAAATTAATTTTGAGCCAAAAGTTGGTTGCAGTGTGATGAGTTTATGAAGTTTCACTTTTAGATATATATCAAGATATCTCATTTGAACGATTATGTATATAAATCTCCGTACGTGACTAAAATACATCTGTGATATAATATAAATGCAAATCTATATACAGATATAACTCTCACACACAAATATATATGCGTGTGAATTCATAGAAACATAGATACATACAGTACATACATACATATACATATATATATATATATACATACATATATATATATATATACATACATACATTCATACATACATACATACATACATACACACGCACACACACCACACACA